TCACCGCTTCCCACTTTAAAGTGGAATTAAAAGAAAAAGCACAAAAGGTAAACCAAAAAATAATGGGCCTATGCGATTTTCACGCTTCTAGCCTAAAGGGCTCTTGCGTGAGGGGGCGTTTTGAGATATATAGTCCCACATTGATTGGATGGGCAACTAATATGGCCTTTATAAGGCCTTGGGCACTCCACCCTTTGAGCTAGCTTTTGGGGTGGTGTATCCCAAGGTTCTTTGCATGGTATCAGAGCTTGAGTGACCATAAGATCACGAGTTTCGTCCTCACGGCCCCCCACTTTGAAGCGGAATTAAAATAAAAAGCACAAAAAGGTAAACCAAAAATTGGGCCTGTGCAATTCCACGCTTCTAGCCCAAAGGGCTCTTGCGTGAGGGGGCGTGTTGAGATATATAGTCCCACATTGGTTGTAATGTGGAGTTTATAAGGCCTTGGGCACTCCCACCCTCCGAGCTAGCTTTTGGAGTGGTGTATCCCAAGGTTCTTTACACTAACCATATATCATATGCATATTTTCATTGAATATTCTAAGAAAATTTCGAATCAGAATTTTTGAGTTTTATTACACGAGAGTTTAGAAAATTTCTCAAATATTTTTCAATCAATACATGGAAACCTTAAATTGCTTTGGGGCTTTTGAAAAATAAGTTTTTAGTGATCTATTAACATAAAAATTGTTTGAAATCGTTTCCTATAGTGAAAGAATTTCGTTCATGAATATATTATTACGAAATATAAAGTTCATATTATGAAAGTTTCAATCTTTCTTTAAATTGATATTGTTTCATTGATGTAAAACAAAAATTTATTTGAGGGTTTTAGTTTCCCTATTATTTTCCCACTTTTTATATTGTTTTTAATACAAAAATCACACATTTTTGTGCCAAGAAAAGTTGCGACCCATAGCTTGAAAAATCACTTTTTAAACTTTCAAAATTTCTAAAAAATGGCTCAAAAATATGTTATTTTTGAGATATATTATATTAAAATCTCGTTGGTTTGTTGTTTCTGGGTTGTTTTGTGATGAAAATTGCTCAAAAATATGTTTTTTTTGAGTTTTGACGAAACTTCCATGCGGAACCCGATTTCGAGCGGGTCGACCTAGCAAAAGAAGAGGAAAACACTTCAATAGACAAATCTCACGAAATCCTAGGGATTAGTGTGAGATTGTGAGAGAGGCATCATATTTATATTTCTTACTAAAAAATCCACACCAATAGAAAATTCATTAAAATCGTTAGATTTTTGAATACCACAAGATTGTTTTTCCATTTTTTAAAATCTTGATTGAATACCAATGAATTTGGACGGACTCTAAAATAATCTTTTAAAATCCTAATCGAATATCACATGACTTTTTTTAATTCATTAAAATCCTAATTGAATACCAATGGATTTTTTTGTCCAAAAATAATTCATTAAAATCCTTTGAAATCTCAATCCAATACAACTCCTTAGTTTAACCAATTTTCAACTAAATAATCAAAAGGAAATCTGTAGAGTATCCAATCAAAACAGAGGTAATTTATAATTAGTTAAATTGATTAGTTATATTAGCGGCAAACCAAAACACTTGGAAATATCTTGATTGCTATAAGAATTCTGGTTGGAAACAGACTAGAAGGAAATGCCAGAGTGCAATTAGATGTTATCAATAATCACTTAGTCTTACTCATCATGTTCCCAAAACCTAATCCAATGTAATATGCAATATCAACTAGCACCCAAATGAGTTAGGCAATTCTAATTTTCCTTCTCTTTATCTATGGTTACCCCCTTACTAATTCTGCCTCACTTAATAATAAGCAAGATTCCAAACAGGCAATTCTTAATACAATCAACTACATCTGCCTAGCAAGCAAATGGAAGATGATTAGTATTGTTCAGCTGGATTCTGGCCAACCATATAAGATACCCATGGATTTAACATCCCTGAAGTTCACTTATATGGTTCTTCCTCTCTCTGTTTTTTTTTTTTTTTTTCGCATATTTACCAACGCAGCAGCCAACTAGTGCAGTTGCAGAGAACAATATGTGTGATTTAGAAGCTTCTCGACAGCATCCTTAAAACCTTATACGTCTATTTTTCTATTACTGCAAGAAGACTTATTCTAAAATTGCTGATAGCCAATAACGCAATTACAGTTCAAGCAATATAAAGTGTAAGCCATTGTCTATTAAAAATTTATAAAGCGTTTAAGGTATAATACTCAGTCAACAGTAATCAGATGTCATATCAAGGCTTTTTCACCCTTGTAACCTTTTATTATTAATTAATTACCGATTTGACCTTGATTATAAACTATTTCAAAAATTTAACCCCTTCAAAAAATATAACACTAATTTTGACCGTTGACCACCAAGCCTACCCGGGTACACCCCTCCCTACCCGGGTAGACAAAAATTTTCAAAAAAATACCCGGGTAGGGAGGGGTGTACCCAGGTATTGTTCTTCGCACTGAGAAATTGCTTGAAGTATTTGCCCGGGTAAGGAGGGGTGTACCCGGGTAAATCTTCGACCACCGGTTCGTTCATTGGTGGGTTTCTTGAATTTGTGCAGTAGAACTGAAGACATTCATTTGGGGAAGCAGATTCACAGTCATGTTCTAAAATTGGGTTTTGATGAAGGGAGTGTGCACATTCAATCTGCTTTGATTGATATGTATAGAAAATGCAGGGAGATTGAGAGCTCTGTAGCTGTATTTGAATGCCTTCCCAAGAGGACTTTGGAGTGTTGCAACTCATTCATGACCTCTTTGTCTCATCGTGGTGCCATTGAAGATGTGGTGGAATTGTTTGGTTTAATGGTCGATGAAGGTCTTATGCCAGATGAAGTAACCTTATCCACCACACTTAAGGCATTGTCGGTATCTGCTTCATCAAGCTTCACGAGCTACCAATTACCCGGGTACACCCCTCCTTACCCGGGTAAATAATTTAAGCAATTTCTCAGTACGAAGAACAATACTCGGGTACACTCCTCTCTACCCGGGTAGATAAAAATTTTCAAAAAATACCCGGGTAGATAGGGGTGTACCCGGGTAAGCTTGGTGGTCAACGGTCAAACAGGGGCAGATTGGTGTTATGTTTTTTGAGGAGGTTAAATTTTTGAAATAGTTTATAATTAAGGTCAAATCGATAATTAATTAATAATAAAGAATTATAAGGGTCAAAAAGCCGTCGTATCAATGTTTTAAGTTTCAATACATATCACAGATGACGACATAAAGCAAGTTCTAGCAAAGAAATAATACTGACTAAGCATAATAACTAGTGTATGTCAGTTACAATTAGATCAAGACATTGGTGATGTATTAAATGTAAAGTTAGAATATATATATATATATATATTAAAAAATGTCTTTAAACTAAAATGTTAGTTATTAATATTAGTGTCCATATAAGCAGCGCATATCCAATAATTTTCATTCAGTATAAGACATCCAATAAGTATTACATATTTCATTTTTAAAAATTGGTAATTCTAAAAAAATGAACACTTGAGTAGTTCAGTAATTAGAAAATTAAAAAGCACTGTACACATTTAAATGCAAATGCAAGTGTGCATGTTTGTTGGCAAAGTAATGGCATATACCAAAACTTTATTAATATGGGCTTTAGGAACAAACATTGCCAGTTCTGGAGTAAGAATAGGAAAGGCCCATGAAGACAAACCCTTTACTCAAAGGCCAGAGCAAATCCATCCCAGAATAAAACAAACAACCATTTCAAATCCATCCATACATTGACCTTCACAGATACATAAGTTTAAGGGATTATCAAGTATCATGTTACAGCACTTTTAGTTTCTTTCCAGCTGACCCACCGATTAGTGTGAAGTTGTTTTTTCTTTTTTTCTTTTATTAAAAAAACAATGGGCCCCACAGTTGGTGTCTGTGGCATGATATAGTGAGTTTACTGTCGCAGGACACTTATAAATCCCTCTTAAGTTTTAATCTAGTTGTACGCACAATAACAACAACAACGATTAGAAAAAGAGAATACAAAAATATTGGTTCGAATGAAATATCTCATAGTACCAACCCCTAGTGAGGAGTGAGTCTCCATGATCAAACATAACCCACCTTTCTCCAAGCCTGTATTAGGTATCCCCCATCAACGGTGTCACATGCTTACATATATGATAAAAAATATATATATATTAGGTATCCTCCCACCAACCCCTAGTGAGGAGTGATCATTTTTTATCTAACGACTTTCAAATGAGATGTCAAATTTGAAATTTGACACTGGTCTTAAAGGATTCTCTCTCTATATATATATATGTATATATATATATAGAGGTAGGATCCTTTGACACCGGTGTCAAATTTAAAGTTTGACACCTCATCTGAGAGCCGTTAGATCAAAAAAGATTAATGGTGTCACATGCTTACAAATCAAAGTCGTTGATCTTTTTTGATCTAACGGATCTTATATGAGGTGTCAAACTTTAAATTTGACACCGGTGTCAAAGGATCTTGCCTCATATATATATATATATATATATATATATATATATATATATATATATATATATATATATATATATATATATATATATATATATATTATATATGGGTTTATCATCTATAATTTAACATGACCACAAAAATTTTCCTACACACAAAACATTTTGTGGGACCCAAAATTTTTGAAACCAAAAAAAAAAAAAAAAACTCTGGCACGCAAAACGAATCTCTATAACATAACACAATCACTTTTCCTACAACATAACTCTTATAAAACCCTATATATATATATATATATAAAGGAATCTCGTGCATAATGAAAAATATCCATAACTCAAATGTTTTCATTTTAAAAGTTCAATTCTGTTTTCATAGGTTAACTAAACTGTCCAAAATTTTGTGTGATAAAATTAATCACTAATATTTAATATTTAATAATATTACAGACTGAATACCATAAAAAACATCTTTAGAATTAACATGAACATAATTCGTTATAGATAATCCATCCCACATTTATAAAAAAAAAAAAAAACACACACACACACACACAATGTCTGAAATTTGCTTGACAGTTGGTACAGAAAAAAGGTAAGGGGAAATTTTGACTTTGATTGTATGATATGGAATTGTACATTCGAGATATCATACGTGTTGAAAAAATGGTATACAATATACGGTAATTGCTTTTACACTCACCTGCAATGATTTATCTCCCTCTCTGTCTCTCTCCTAAATTTTGTAAACCTCTATCTCTACCTCAAATATAAATTATCTAGAAAGTAGACGGTCCCCTCAAATTTTTTCATAGAATAAAATGTATGCCTCACAGCGAAGAACTTCATCAAGGGAAACTTCACGCACATATGCATCACTGGCCTGATACCATGTGGAACCCTCATTCTCTTTATCAGCCTTCCCTCTGTTCCTCTGGCCCCCTCTCACATAGGCAACATAGTGACCCCCTCTCATATTTCCCGTGTGCTCCACAACACCAACCAAGTGGTATTCATACTTCTCTTCATTTACACACCTGTTCAAACAGAATTTGGAGTGAATTACAAGCCAGTGGATCAATAACGTACATAAAAAGAGAGAAACTAAAATCTACTGTAAAAATTGAATTTACAAATACAACCTATTTGCAATGAATTGAAATTGTATCCAAAATGTTTCTTATGATTAAATTAAAATGATAAGAAGAAAATAGTGTAAATATGAAATAGAAGCAAACAAGTAGAAGCATTATGCATGTATTAATTGTTCAAACTTCAAATTGGATCTAACAAAGTACCTGGGATCCATATATGGTCTAAGATCCATTGCTTCTCTGAAATCGACATGACCATTTAATTTACTTAAGCGACCACGGGTATCTTGGCTGAATCTCTTCAGATGAATGGTCAAGACAGGCGGAGCTTTATAAATGAGGTCTCTCTTAGTTGCATCCCTCTTCACTTTCATACTTTTGGCCTCGTCGCATTCTTCTGAGTCATTGTTATCATGATCTAACATCTGAGGATCTCTTCTTTGGACAATTTCAGTCATACGCAAATTAATACAAGAATCAGCAGCTGAATGCTTGCAGCTTTCTTTATTGCAAGCTTTATGAAAACCTGAAGACTGTAATTCCTCATTACGAGTATCTACCATCTTAAATGCCCCACGATCCCTTTCATTAACAATTAAACCCAGCTCATTTGTTTGACCATTTTCAAGCTCTGTCCCATGCTTAGAATGCAAAACTGAACTTTCTATATTTTTGTCATTTTTAATATCGCCATTACCAAGGGTTCTGGCTTTAACAGAACAAGAGTTAGCTGCATGACATGGTTCATCATGACATCCAGTCTCATTTCCATCAGATAAAGTTTTTGCCTGCTTTTTTGTTTCCATCTTTTGACGTAGGAGAATTTTTGAACAGTTCTCACAATGCCAACCATTTTCATCTGAGAGAAGCTCAGGTTTAATAAAATGTGCCAAGCAACTCTCTACAGAGACTGGAGAATCTGTATCATCTACTTCATCTGGATCAGACTCACTGTTGTTTCCAATGATAAAACCAGCTTCCATGACCTCACTACATGAAGAAGGTCTAGGAGCAGGTCCAGCAACAACTTCAGGTTCATTGAATAAGTCACCAAATCCATCGAACTCCAATACTTCTTGACCACCACCTAAAACTGATGAGGAGGCCTCGTCATCTCTTCCAATTATCTCACCAGCAGACAAACTTTCATCTTTGTATGGAAGTAACAATACTTCTGAACCTTGAACTTGTAGTGGAACCTCATCTTCCAAACCATTCACTAAAGAATCTGGTCTAAGGCTTTGATCCTCCCTAAGGAAACAAGAAGGACCACTAGATTCACAGCTAGCCTGTATCGGGAATTCATTTAAACATTTATCCTTGCTCTCGGTATCCTGTACCTCTGGAGCATTCTCCATCTGAGAAATGGAAGCACATTCATCTGCCATGGCTCCAGCTTCCACATAATCCAACCATGCAAAATCATCCGACGAAACAGACATTTTCTTTGCACCATTTTCAAGCACTTGCATATGCTGAGACTCTCCAACAGTAATTAATTTAGGTGAAGACAAATCCTCTTTATCAGCCACATTGCTTATTTCTTCAGAACCTAACACTGTAGAATCACCAGAAGAAGCCGCCCCCTCTCCAGCAGTTGATATGATGGACTGACCAGGGCAGGATGATTCACTGCTGGATAATTGGTTTGATAGACTTTGAGCAGCTAAGGGATCAGCATCCCTGTTAACTTTGACTCGAGTCTTTCCGACTTTTTTTGGTGGAAGTTTTGCCTTTTTGGTTCGGGTTACTTGTTGGGCCTTTCGAGGTGGAGGTTTCTTAGTTGGAACAGGCAGGGAAAGATCTAAAAAAGGCTCATACACTGTTGAGAAATGCCCACACTCAATGCAACATACAGTACTAGATATCTGACCTCCAAATAAAGCATCAACTAAAGTATTGGAAGAGGTCCCATCTTTCTTCAGAGAACCATTCTGTTTCCTTCCAGCTAGTTCTTCAGTGTTCAATCCATCCAGTAAACAACAGAGCAATTCATGACTGTCATGTTGCTGATATCCTCGAAATTGGGGGGACTTAGAACATACACAACCAAAAAAGGATCTTGGATTTATAATATTTTTCAATCCTGATTCTGGGTTCGTTTCAGTGAATAGCTTCTTCAAGGAACTAATCAGTGGCCCAACAGGAGCATCTAACTTCAGAAAATTTTCCCGCAATCTATTCATAGCTAGCAAATTTTGCATGATTGAATTGAAAAAGCAAGTATTCCCAAGATTAACCAGACCTCTAACTACATAACCACCATGTACATATGAATCACTTGGGGACGGGGTTCCTGATTTAATTTCAGAAGTAACACTGCCATCCACAAAGCAAACATCCTCAATATCCACCGCTGATTTTCCCGATGATCGTCCTTTCAACAATTTCACCACATCAGGTAGAAGATGACTTGTTTCATCAGTTTTTTCAATTTTATCAACTTGAATAAGCATATTGCAAGGAAAACACCAACACAGTTGAGGTTTCTCAAAATGAACCACCAAGGGGTGTTTCTTTTGCCTCGCATGCCCTACCACATGGCAATGAGGGATTATTGGTAACCCCACACCTCCACATGTATATTGACCACACTCCAAACAAACCCATATAGACTTTGACTCAGATTTTGAATCCAATGACGCACTACCTTTCTTCTTCCCGTGTTTACCTTTTCCTTTACTAGCCCTCCTGTCAGCCGCACCTTCCCTACAATCTTCACACCGTATAGATCCAGAAGACCCAATCTTACTAGACAATCTATTTAAATTAATACCTTTAACGATATGAGGGCAAGAATTTGTCTCTTTTGCAACCAAAACCCCCTCATCAACAGACTCAACAGTCGGGTTGCACGATTCCATAACCTTTTTTGGCGAATGGGTAGCAACCACCTTCTCCTTAACAGAACCTCGGCTCTTCTTTCTGACTTTCTTCCCCATCAGTTCTTATAATCCAAAACAAATCAATGAACTCTGCCAGCAAAAACAGACAGAAAAACAGATGTATCTCTTACATCCTCTTACATTAAATACCAAAATATGTAGCTCACATTACACATACAACCAGAAAAAAACTGAAAAAGAGGACGGGAAAATTATCGAACCATTCAACTCTTTTTACCTGGAAATCAGGAGGCGTAGGAGGAAGATTTTAAACAAGGATCTTCAAAGAATTGAAGCTTTTCTACTAGTGACAATAAGCTAGATTGAAGCAAGCCCCAATGCAATCCAATCTTGTAGTGTAAGGCCAATTGTAAGGCATAAAATCTTATCCAATATGACCTAACCAGGTATTGAGAATTTTACTTTCAGTTAAATATATAAAAGGACAGCAAACTAGTATAATGCAAATGTTTCCGTTTGGGCGTTTGCAAAACATCAATCTTTGCAGCCAAATACAAACCAAATTGCTATCACGACGAAGTCAAGGAGCAGGTTCATAGTGGATTGAAAATCAAATAGATAAAGCCTCGATTAAAATATAAGTATGTGATATGTTGTAATGCTCTATTTCAAAATCTGAAATTGCTAATATATATATACAGACATGAATTCAGATATATTGCTCTCTGTCTAGTGATGAAGTTTATCGAATGAATCAAGAGCGTTTGCGGAGTGGAATAATGAACAGACGCACAAGTACAAAGCATCAGATCGAGAAGAGAAACCTAAAAAATTGGGAAAGATATTCTCATTCAAAACATGAGCCAAACCAATTATCTATTATCAATCAATCATATGAATGGATGACACATAAACAAAACAAAACAAAACAAAACAAAAAAGGAAAAAAGGGGCATTCTTATAAAGTGAGTACCTGCGTGGAACTGGAAGGAAGATGAAAAGGCGTCAAGGTTCGATGGTTGTAAACAAAATAAGTGCTTTTATTTTGGTTAGAGAATCGGATAAGAGAGGGGGATATAGAGTTGGGTTGGTGTGTTGAAAAAAAAAAAACAGAGCAAAAGATGAGATAAAGTCGAAAGGAAAGGAAGATTGAATTGAAAGAAGCAAAGTGAGTGAGTATTAAGGAAGAAGACCAACAGAGCAATCAGTTCTGTGCTCTGCTATGGGCTGTGCCCTGGGATTATGGATGCCTCTCTCTCTCCCTCTCTCTCACTCACGAGAGAGGTGAAGGGTTTGCAAGTCGGGTCACTAATCGATCCAACCCATTTGGAAAATTAAATATATGGGATCGAGATTTTAAACTACTGTAAAAAAGTATCGTGATTTTGGATTAGAATTTTAAAATATTATTTTAGAATTTATCCAAATTTAATGATATTCAATTAAAATTTTAAATAAAAGAAAAATAATCTTGTGTTGTTCAAAAATCTAATTATTTTAATAGATTTTATTGATGTTGATTTTATGAGATTTTTTAGTGAGAAATATAAATAGCATGCTTCTCTAACAATTTTACCCTAAACATTGGAATTTCTTGAGATTTTTCTATTGTAATGTCTCACAATCTACTCTAACATTTTCTCAAAGCCAACGCGTGTTCTTCTTTGACTCATATATTTTCTCTTTTTTGACATTCTTCCTTATGTTTTTCTTCTTCATGATTAATTGATGATTTATTATTGTTCTTGTCATCTCTAATGATGTGTTTCATACTAATTTTATATGTATTGTATATATATAAGGAATTTACATTTGTCATTTAACATGACACAACAAACTTTTCTACACACACAACATTTTGTGGGGCCCATACTTTTTGAAGAAAAAAGAAAAAGAAAAAGAAAAAATTATGGCACACAAAACGAATCTCTATAACATTACACAATCATTTTTTCTACAACATAACTCTTATAAAACCCTATATATAATTAGGTAAATATTTCATAGTGGATTGCGAATTTCTCAATCAGCACCAATTTTTAGCTCTATTTCAAGGTGTGCGATATCATCTCCAAGATTTTACAAGTCATGGTAATGTCCTTCAAAATGCAAATGGATTATTCAATCTTCGTCGTGCATCATTAAAAATGTAATGGAAAGGATATTTGACATTTTTAAATCACACTTCAAAGTTTTTAAGTAAGCACCTTCATTTCCATTCAAAACACAAGCAGAGCTTGTGTTAGCATGTGTAATACTATACAACTTTATTCGCAAAGAATGTTGTTTAGATGAATTTTCAATTGAACCAATAGATGCATCTTCAACTTCAGTATCACTAGTTAACAAAGAAGATAATTTTCAACTCGTTGATCAAACCCAAAAGCAGGAACGATAAGATGTTAATGCGTTGAGAACTAGTATAACTTTAGATATGTGAAGAGGTGTTGTCACTTGTCAGTAGGATATCAAGTTACATTAAATTACTGATTGAGAAAATTATATTAGATTTTATTTTATTTTTTTATTAATATCATTGCACTTCTTTATTATCATTTTATTGACTCTTGTAATTTTGAGTGTTTGTTAAAAATACATATGATTTTTTAAAAGGGGTGTGATATTGTAACAACCAATTAGGGTTACGACCAATGTTACTACCAATCAATTTTACCGTTAGATCAATTATGTTAATCCAAGAATTATATTTATTTTCATCTTTGTATGGTTATGATTCCCTATATTTAATATTTTATATTTATTTCCACCTTTATACGGTTATGATTTCCCATATTTAATGTGATGGTAGAATAACCATACGAAGATGAAAATAAATATAACCATTGGATCCACATAACCTATCTAATGGTGAAATTGATTGGTAGTAACCCTAATTGGTTGTTATAATATCTACCTTTTTAAAATCTTATAAATCCATATTGTTTTTTCGAATCTTATAAAATTTTGATTGTAAAAAAAGTCTTTTAAAAAAGTCTTTAAAGTCATTATAATTCTATATAGTCTTTTAAAATTTATAAGATTTTTATCTCAAAATAGTCTTTTAAAATCTTAATCTAATACACTCCCCTTAATGTATTTTTATTAATGATAGATTATACTTACTATTATTTTTTCTTACCACCTCTTATTATTAACTTTGTTATCGACGTTGATTTAATTTTGACCCAACGATAACAAAATTGATGGGAAGAAGTGATAAGTATAACCTTTCCTTTTTATTATATTATTTTTTTAATATTCAAACAAGTTTAATGACAATTTTCAATATTTTATCTAATAAAATGTATTAGATACAAGTATACAATTATCAAAACTAAACTCATATTTTAAATAATTAATCACATTTCTTTAAATAACAAAGTTCCTTAAATTTGAAGAATGAATATCAATACTACAATTAACACAATTAACGCATTTTTAGATATATATTAATTAAAAATTTATTGGTAATGATACGATATATTAATTAAGATGAGATTAAAACAATAATTTAATTTTGAAATAAATCAGTTAAATTTAAGAATTTTGATGAGGTTGAATTTGAATTAATGATGAATGAATTAGAAAATTAATTCATTTGTTATTAATTCTTCAAATAAATAATAATAATATATACTTAGGCGATAAAGAAATAAGTTTAAATTTCAAGTCAATAGATTACCAAAAAAAAAATTCCAAGTCAATGGGTTTGGCCTAATTTAGCTTTGGGCCAATCTTTAGCTCCTCCTATGAAGCACCGACACTTCAAAAACCCTGATGTATCGTGTCCGACACTTTCCGACACTCTCCTACACTTCGACGCTCCAACACGCGTTATAGAAATTCAAAAAAAGATTCAAAGAATGCGTTGCATTGAGTTTTTAGTTCTAATTATTAGATTCGTTGGATTACGATTACTATTTTATTGAACTTAATATAAATATTTGGGATATCTTATGTTTATTTGCAAAATTGATGAATATTATAATTTTAGTTTCATTTTTTTGTTAAAATTATTGAATATTAAATATAATATACATTATATAAATTAAAAATATTATTTAATATCAAAACTTGTCCTAACGTGTCGAAATCTAACATTTTTTAGAATTAACGTGTCGAAGTGTCGTGTCATTTCGTGTCATATATCTCGTGTCAGTGTCAGTGCTAGATAGAGCTCCTCCCATTTTTATATCTCTTTCCAAAACTACCAATGGCGAGAATCTCGACCCCTGATCTATTATGTATCAGCCAGGTTCCACCCTAACCTAATCATCAAGAAGATGGATTGGAATGACATGGTCATTTTCAGTACATTTTGCATCATATATGCATGTCTGTACTCCTCAGTATTACACATATGTCCAACATTGAAGTATCTCTTCAGTTTACCATAAAATCATGTTCACGTTGTCCAAAATGGGTTAGCATAATAATAGAGTCCGTTTGAGGTGATATCTTCGGTACTTAAATTAATTTAATTAATAGTGAGTAGTAGCGTAATTGATTTTAAGAGAGATGAAAATTCATTGATTTTCTGTTGAGTGTAAATTATTCTAGGTGCAAAACCCACCAAATTTTTAGAAACGTATTTATATTTACACTTCGAATGTTATTATATTCTACCGTTCAAACCAAATTAATTCTTTTAAACCTAATTTTAAAATATAATTTCCAAACAAAAATTAATTAATTCCAAATAATCTCTTTCAAGATTGATTATACCAAAATCTAAAACAAAGCTAAATACTGATGGCGCATCCATAAGAGCAAGAATAATTGCTGGGTGTGGGGGACTCTAAAGGAATGAAATGGGAGATTATTTGGGAGGGTTATTGTAATCCCCTTAATGCTGAGTTATGGGATTTCCTAAAAGGTTTGGAATTGGCTTGAACCTAGGTATTAGAAAACTAGTGATAGAAGGGGATTCTTTAGTGGCGCTACAAGTGTTGGAAACTCATCAAGATAACTCAAAAGACTCTCAGATTGCATCTCGTATCAAACAATGGTTAGAATAAGACTCAGTCAAGAGCTCTCATACAAAAAGGTAAGTGGATCCACTTATTTTTTTTTTTAATGCAAAAAAAAAAAAAAGGTAAGTGATCATGTTATTTGATTGCAACTATTTATTGATGATGAGATAAGAGAAAAAAAAATATATAATTTTTAAATGAATGGTTATGATCAAATAACATGACCACGTAATTACTTTTACATATGAAAGGATCCACTCCCTACAAAAAAGAGTCCAACATATCTGCTCATTGGCTAGGAAAGAAGGCAACAACTACTAAATTTGGTCTGCATATTTACCATACTCCTCCTTCTAATATCCAACACATGCTGGTTGAAGATATAAGAGGCAGAATGCATTGTTTACTGTTTATTATGTAATTCTGTTTTTGTTTGGGCTTTGGGCCCTCTTTATTTAAAAACAAAATCAAAATAAACTAAGTCTAACTAATTGTTAAACCAAAAGGACATATTTATGTTTCCCACCTATAATGATAACCATTGTTTTGAAAATTTATACGATTCTCTACTCATTTCAAGCTATCCACCTATTTGCATGTTGAACTCCTTACTTTCCTTAAGAGATGTTTGGTACATAGTATAAGATAAAGTTTAATAGTATAAGATTTGATAGTATAAGGTATGATTATATAAGATCTGATTAAATTTTAATACTATTCAGCATTTGACATGATATTATATAAGATAATATATTATATAAGATAAGGGGCAGGTTATATTTACAAACTTTTTTGTTTACAAACTACACTATGTACGACCGGTCCTACATTAATCGTGAAGTGTACGACCGGTCCTACATAGTGTAATTCCAAAAAAAGTTTGTAAACGGATCATATCTCATAAGATAATATCATTCAATGTTTGGTAATACACTGTATAACACTAGATAGATTAAAAATAAATATTTTTGTCAAAAATTCCTTTTAATAATGAATTTACATAATTCTTCCAAATATATCAGATGATACGATTTTTTATAAAAAAATGTTGATGAGTGTGTCCAAAAAATATATTAATTTTTATAAAAATAAAAATCTCCTAAATTTTTAAAAAATTATATAATGAAAAATTATTTTTTATTTTAATATACTAATATTAAAATAATATATTAATTATTGTGAATTGCATTGGTTAATACATCAACCCCTTATCAGGCCTAATCCTACCCTATAGGTCTGATTAAGTTATAAATCATTTTGATATATAAAGGGATCCTGCTATATAAGCTTATACTATATGATGGTCATACCAA